TTTGTGCAGTTCAGTGTGTGACTGAAACAGTCAGGTGGTCTGTGAGGGATCTTGACCGGAGCGAGAGGGCCCGATTTGCGATGGTGCCTGGCTCCATTATGTCTAGGGTGGCCAACCAGCACGTGAGGCCTGGAGATATTGAAATTTTATTTTATTTTTTATTTTTTATTTGTATTTTTTAAATTTTATTTTATTGATTTTTATCCTGCCCATCCGGCCTAGGCTGGCTCAGGGCAGCTGACAACAGAATCAAAGTTCTCATGATACATAAAACACAATTTGCAATTTCTTGCTTTCGAACTGCTCGGTTGGCAGGAGCTGGGACCAGAGACGGGAGCTCACTCTGTCCTGCAGCACTCGGGTCTCGAACTGCTGAACTACCGACCTTCCAGGCTGCAGTCCGGCGTCTTAACCACTGAGCCACCGCAGACCCCATTGTCTCTCCAGCCCCCTAAATGTCATGAATTAAGTGTGGTCTTCAGCAATGTTCCCTCTAAGCTGTGGAATCTTGTGAGCAGAAATTCTACTTTGTGAGCAACTGGAATTAAAGCTGTGAGCAAGCGATTGGGCTCCTGCATAAATTAGCTTACTCTGGAGCCATCCCTTCCTGAGCTAAGACAAAAAACTGTGAGCTGGAGGCTAAAAAACTGTGAGCTGGCTCACACTAACACACCTTAGAGGGAATACTGGTCTTCAGCCACTTCATGATGGCCGTCAAACCAGTTGGTGTCCCTGTGTTGTTTATGGCACAGTCAAGGACAGGAAAAAGTGCAAGGTTGATCTGAGAAAGATGATTGGAAAAGCCAGAATGATACCCAGGGACAGCCTGCTACAAGACAAGCCCAAAGAAAAGGGCAACAGAACACCACTGGTGGTCACCTACAGCTCACAACTCAAGCCAGTTCAATGCATTATTGATGACCGACAACCCACGCTGGAGGTGGTGTTTTCTTGCTCACAGACAGCCTGCTAACCTAAAACAGCTTCTCACCTGCAATGACAAACTACTCAACAGTAACATGGACTCCGGTACCAAGGCCTGCAACAGACCAAGATGCCAACTTTGCTTTCCTATAGATCCTAGCAACACTGTCAGTGGACCCAGCAACATCAGCCATACCATCTCAGGTTCATTCTCCTGCTCGTCCTCTAATGTGATTCATGCCATCATCACGTGTCAGCGATGCCCTCCCACCCTCTGCATTGGACAAACAGGCCAGTCCCTTCGACCAGGAATGAATGGACACAAGTCTGACGTTAGGAACCACAGCAGTCAAATACCAGTGGGGGAACATCTTAACCTTCCAGGACATTCAGTTGCTGACCTAAAAGTAGCAGTTCTCTTACAAAGGCATTTCAAAGGGAGGTTAGAAAGAGAGGCTGCTGAATTGCAACTGATAATGAAGCTCAGGACAATGCATCCACCTGGACTGAATCGAGACCTAGGTTTCCTGTTTCATTACCAATGCAGATTTCTCCATGCCTGCTGCCCCTCTGCATATCTCACCTAAATCCACTCATACCTGCTGTTGTCATTCACCTGCTATTGTCATTTGCCTGCTAATGTCATTCGGCATCTGCAATCACTCCACTTTCCAATAAATAGGGCAGATGGACTCCCATTCTAGCTGTATCTGAAGAAGTGGGCAGTGACTCACGAAAGCTCCTCCCCTGCCACATATTTTGTTAGTCTTTATGATGCTGCTGGACTCTTGTTCTTTTGTACTGCTACAGACAGACTAACACAGCTACCCATCTTGCAATTTCCCTGTTAATGTACGAACCTCTCTCTGGCTATGAAGCTGATTTAAGAAAAAGAAATGCTCATAGGAGACATATGTTCCATCTGGCTTGGACCCCGTGCCCTGGACTGGCCTATGCCTCCCTTTTAGAGAGGGGCCATGGCTCAGAGGAAGAGCCTCTGCTTGGCATGCAGAAGGTCCCAGGTTCAATCCCTGTCATCTGTAGTTTAAAAAAAAGAGGATCAGGTAGTATATGATGTGAAAGATCTCAACCTGAGACTCTGGAGAGCACCTACCAGTCTGAGTAGACAACCCTGACCTTGATGGACCAGTGATCCGAGTCAGTATAATGGAATTTCATGTGTACTTTCTGGCATTTAGGTATGAATAATATGCTTGTGTCGCCAGTAGCTGTTGTTGCTGTTAAAAGTCAGTGATGCGGCAAAGATGCACACCAGTGGTGTGCTATAATTAGCTGTTGGATTGCCTGTATTGTAAATCCCCCCCCAGTTTTTTTCCACATCCAAAGGAGAAGCTTTGACATTTATAAAAAACATGTCCAAATTGGTTAGCTGTAGTGTGGTGTAGAGGTCGGAGCACGGGTTCTAGAGATGTGAAACTATGGCTCAAATGAACAAATAAAGCTGCCGCACTGAATTGGAGTGTTGGTCCATCAAGGTCAATATTGTCTACTCAGATTGGCAGCGGCTATCCATGGCATCCAACAGAAGTCTTTCACATCTCCTAATGCCTGGTCCTTTCAACTGAAGATACTGTGGATTGAACCTGGGACCTTCTGCATGCAAAACAGATGCTCTCCCACTGAGCCAGAACTCAGATCTCCGGTCGGTCGGACATAGCAGTCGAAGGATGGCCTTGGGCAAGTCAGAACGTCCCTCTAAACTGCTTCATACAGACTGAGTGAGAATCGACCTTGTAGCCTGTTATTAATCTAGGAAGCCCTTTGCGGCCCGGGAACTACATTCCCCTTTCCTGATATGAACCCTAGCAACAAGCCAGCTTCATAGCCAGTCTCATCAGATGTCAGAAGCAGGGTTGACCCTGGTTAGTACTTGGATGGGAGACCACCAAGGATGTCCAGGGTTGCTATGCAGAGGCAGGCAATGGCACACCGCCTGTGCTCATCTCTTGCTCTGAAAACCCTACGCGAGGGGTCCCCAACATGGTGCCTGTGGGTACCATTGGGCCCGCTGACACCTTTTCTGGTGTTTTTAGAAAGTGGGCGGGGGCCAGGTGGGGCTTTTGCTCAGCAAGGCTTCTGATTGGCCGCTGGAGATTTGATTGGCTGTGCAGATTTTTAAATACATTGCTTTGGCAGGAGCTGCCGCCGCAGCCCAAGCACCACCACTGTAGCAACCATTTTGCGGCTGGCTCCGCCTCCTGGAGCAGCTGTTTTTGTGGCAGTCCTTTTGTGTCAGCCGTTTTATGGCTGTGCCTGCCATACTGTGCCAGAATTCCAAAGGTGGCCATAGGTTAAAAAGGATTGGGGGCTGCTGCCCTACTGGGTCACCGTAATTCGCCTGTGACTTGATGTCAGAGACTTTACGGGGTCTTCTTTGGTGGGCCCCCCTCCAGATACGGACCCTGCTTAGCTTCCAGGATCGTTCCACACACATAAAATAAAATACCTGTGACGGATTCAGAACGTCCACCTGCTCTGCACCCGAATCCTCACACTGCTGAATTTTAGGGCTTTTCCAGTCCCCCCCCTCCAAGGATCTTCAGGGGAGGGCTGGAGCTCAGTGGAAGAGCCTCTGCTTTGCATGTGAAATGTCCCGGGTTCAGTCTCTGGCATCTCCAGTCTAAAAGGACCAGGCAGGAGGTGACGTGAAAGACCTCAGCCTGAGACCCTGGAGAGCTGCTGCCAGTTTGACTGAGGGTCTGACTCAGTACAAGGCAGCTTCACCCCTTGCCCGTTACCTGTTCCTGCATCCCAGGTTTTATATGGGCCAAATGTAAGCGGCACTGGCAGAGGTTTCGTCATGGGTTCACGTTTGCGGCGTTCCGGCACTGCAAACAATGTTGGTGAGTTCCTTTTTGAGTGCCAGCTTAAGGTGTGACTCTAGTGAGCCGGCGGTGAATTTCAAACAGTATCTTAAATCTACTTCCCAGTCTACCTACTTCCCCCACCCACCCCATACTTCTAGGTCATATGACTAGCTTGCTCAGAGAGGGCTTAAAATGTGGAATTTGCAGCCAGAGGATGTAGTGATGGCCACAGGGATAGACAGCTTTAAAGAGGGCTTAGATAGATTCATGGAGGATAAGTGTATCATTGGCTACTAGCCATGGTTACTGAGGGGAACCTCCATGTTCAGAGGCACTAAACTTCTGAATTCCAGATCTAGGAGGCAACCCAGGGACAGGTTTTGGCCTCTGTGCCCTGTTGTTGGCCCTCCAGAGGATCTGGTTGACCACTATGTGAGACAGGATGCTGGACTAGATGGACTATTGGTCTGATCCAGCAGGGCTCTTCCTGTGTTCTTATTGGGGAAGGCCTCGGTCTCTATGCCCTGTTGTTGGCCCTCCAGAAGAACTGGTTGGCCACTGTGTGAGACAGGACGCTGGACTAGATAGACCGCTGGTCTGATCCAGCAGGGCCCTTCTCATGTTCTTATGAAGGCCTCAGCCTCTATGCCCTGTTGGCTGTCCAGAGGAACTGGTTGGCTACTGTGTGAGACAGGACGCTGGACTAGATGGACCGCTGCTCTGATCCAGCAGGGCCCTTCTCATGTTCTTAGGAAGGCCTTGGCCTCTATGCCCTGTTGGCTGTCCAGAGGAACTGGTTGGCCACTGTGTGAGACAGGACGCTGGACTAGATGGACCACTGATCTGATCCAGCCAGGCTCTTATGTTCTTATTGCAAAACCTTTGAATAGAATCCTGTTGCAATGAGATCTAGTGGACTCCTGCTGCTGATTTTAACCTGGCCAAGGCTGTTCCTCTCGAAATACATATAGTTCTTTGTATCTGTAAGCAGTGTTCCCTCTAAGCTGAGTTAGTGTGAGCTAGCTCACCGTTTTTTAGCCTCCAGCTCACAGATTTTTATCTTAGCTCAGGAAGGATGGCTCCAGAGCAAACTAATTTATGCAGTAGCCAAATCGCTCGCTCACAACTTTAATGCCAGTAGCTCACAAAGCAGAATTTTTGCTCACAAGACTCCGCAGCTTAGAGGGAGCATTGTCTGTAAGTTGTCCTGGTTCCCAGTTTAATTCCGTTGTTCCTTTCTCCCCCCAGCTCGAGAAGGAGCTGTCGAAAAAACTTGAAGAGCTGGAAGGTAGGGGGCTACATTTCATTCCGCCTTCTCTCTAAAGCCACATATCGTCTTGCACCTTGCTGACAGTTCTCTGTATTTACTGCAGGTGAGATATCGAGCTACCAAGATGAAATAGAGATCGAATTAGAAAACAGCCGGCCAAAAGCGAAAGGGGTGTATGCAAATTATACCAAAGACTGTAAGTCTGCCTGACTTAAATTAATTGAGGACTAGATTAAAAATACCAGTGTGATTTTACGCCAACTTTGCATTTCTGATTTATAATTGTAGCCAGCTTGACCATAGAGAAGCAGCATGTGGCCAGATTTTTCCAGTTGTGAGCTAGAAGGTCAAGGGAGGGGGCACACAGTGTCAGTGCTGGCTTGCTGAACTGAGATCTTTTTTTTCCCATCAGAAAGTCCATTGAGAGGAGAATGAAACATCTGCTAGAGTTAGGGTTGCCAGGCCCTACCTTTCTGCTGGCGGGGGGCGGGATTGGGGGGGGGCATTCTGGGAGGGGGAGGGGACATCGTGTGATGCCCCCACCCCAGTGGCATTTCACAGAACTGGCATCATCACGTCGGAGGCGTTGCACAAGTGACACACTGCTTTTTGGACAACATTCTGTGGCACAATCCGGGTCAAACCACAGAGTTTTGCCCAAAAAGCAGAGTGTCGCCATGCAGTGTCCCTGACATGATGACATCACTTCTGCTTTTTGGACAACATTCTGTGGCACAATCCGGGTCAAACCATAGAGTTTTGCCCAAAAAGCAGAGTGTCGCCATGCAGCGTCCCTGACATGATGACATCACTTCTGCTTTTTGGACAACATTCTATGGCACAATCCGGGTCAAACCATAGAGTTTTGCCCCAAAAGCAGAGCGTCACCGTGCAGCGTCCCTGACATGATGACATCACTTCCGTGTGACGTCATCGTGCCGGGGACGTCGCTGTGCGATGTCACTGTTTGGGTGTGGGGTTTCCCTGCCGGCCACGTGGCCGGCGGCAGGCAAAAGCCCTGAAAGGGCAGAGTTCATCCACCTCCACAACTCTTTGCGAAGTCCCAATATTTGGAAACCCAGGAAAGAAGGAGGGGTGCTGGAGGCAGTAATGGCCGACACCCCCATGCCTGATTCCATTGGTTTAAAGATAAATCCCAAAAGCTACAGAATGAGAGAACTTAATTAGGGCATACATTCCATCGGTCAGATAAATTCAGTTCTTAGGGAGGGCAGATGTAACGTCTGTTCAGGAGGCAGTGATCTCCTGCATTCAGACTCCCATTTTTAGAGGCTGGAAGATTGGTTTTTTTTGAGACTGAAAGGAGTGCAGGTACCATTTTCTCTGCAATGTAGCCCACCTGCTGTTTAGGAAATTGTGTGTGGCCAGAGCTGAGAGCCCTTTGATAATCAGGGTGTAATACTTGCAGTGGAAAGCTGCAGTTCTAACATTTGGCCCTCAGAAAACTTTACTTACCAGCCATAATAAATTAGATCCGTAGAGCTGGAAGGGACCTCAAGGGTCATCTAGTCCATCCCCTGTACAATGCAGGAAATTCACAGCTATCTCCCCCTCCTACCACCCCCATGACCCCCTGCTTTATGCCCAGAGAAAGTAAATAACCTCCAGGATCCCTGGGCCAAATTGGCCTGGAGGCAAATTCCTTCCTGATCCCAAATACGTGATTGGCATTACCCTGAGCATGTAAGAAAAGTCCACAAGATCTGGGAACTGGCTCGTCCCTTCCTGCCCTCCCTCTCATGATCTGCCTAAATTTATAGTGACTCATAAAATCAGCATTGCTGTCAGATCAGCATCTAGCCTCTGCCAAAAAAACCTCCAATGAAGGAGAGCCCACCACCTCCCAAGAAAGCCTGTTCCACTGAGGACCTGCTCAAACTGTCAGGAAGTTCTTCCCAATGTTTGCCAAAAACTATCTATATATCTAATAGCCAAGGTGCCCCCTGCGTGTGGATACTTATTTCCGCACATCAGGGGTACCTGGGGGAGAGGAAGATGTTTGTGCACACTTGGGGCAGTCCCCAGGTGTGCACAAAAATCTAAAAACCCGGAAAAAATATCGGGGGGATACTTAAATTCCCCCAAAAGTGACAGAGCGTCCCCTGTGCATGTGCAGGGAACGCTCTGCGAACTCCCTCACCGCCAGTGGAGGAGACGGGGGGAACCGGCGGGATGGGGGGGAACTTACCTCCTGCTGCTTCCTCCTCTGCCTCATAAGTGTGGAGGTCACTTACCCCCCCGCGAGTATTGCGGGTCCCGCCCCTTGTTTTGATTTAATTTCAATGCATTCGTTCTGGGCTGACGTGGCAAAACGTTGCACAAATAAATGGCACTGATTCTATTCCACACCAGCTGGCATATATGTTAAGAGTTCTCAAGGTGACTGTAGCCGCACCGTCATGCAGAAGACACTGTGCCAGCTCTTTGGAGACTGATGCCTGTTGTTGATTGGCTCACTTGCCCTCTGGCAGTCCCTGGTTTCTTCTAAGAGCAGAGAGGAACAAGGAAGTCACTATAGTTCCCTTTTAGTGTGACTTCCGGGCTTTACTCTGCTATTAGTAGAAACTGGGTGCTGCTAGAACTTGAGTGAGTGAGAGGCAGGTGGAGAGAGAGAAGCAAAGAGGGTTGTTACAGTCAACTGGAGTCTGGCGGTATTAGGGTTGACAGGTGGGGGGAGCGAGGGAGCTGTCCAGGAGGCAGGAGGAGCTCCGCCCCCAAACAGCATCATTGCTAATGTGATGACATCACTCATAAGTGACATCATCACGCTGTGGACATTGCGTGGCGATGCTCTGGTTTAAGGACAAAACTCTATGGTTTTACCACAGAGTTTTGACCTCCTCTGCCCTCAAACCAGAGTGTCGTGTGGCAACGCCCCCACGCGCTGATGTCACTTCTTTGTGCTGTCATTGTGTCTGCGACGTATACATGGTGATTGGCTGATGGACAGCTGTGTGAGCCAGATCTTTTTTACCAGCCGAGTTTGGGAGTAATTGCAAAAAGGCCGAATTACCAAGAATCCAGGTCTGCTTGATGCATTAGAAGTAGGTCGGTATTATTTCATTGACCCATTTGTTGCGGGAACAGGGAGGCTTTGTACAAATCTGAAGTTTTCCTTACAAAGTAGTTGTGCCTGCTAGTGGAGTATGAAACGTCAGGACAATGCAGTGTGCCCTTTACTGTTGATTACATAGGGATAAGTGGTTGCTGATCCCTTTGAAAAGTTACAGTGTTTTGGCGGGCGGCAGGGGACACGAGCCCTAGCTTTTAACTTTCTGGCGCTTTTGACAAGGAAAAGTTAATGAACTGCCCGTTAGATCTTACTCTCGGAAGAAATAGGTGACCGTGGGGGGTCCCCGCGGTTCTCTACAGGAGGCTGTACTCCTCCGCTTTAACGTATTAGATGAAATGACTTGATCCTCTGCCCCTAAAGATTGCATGGAAGATAACATCTTGAGTATATTCGGCGAGGAGGAGGGAGAAGACGAAGAGCTGGAGGCGGCGGCCAACCATTTAAACAAGGACTTTTACAGCGAGCTCGTCGAGAAAGACAAACTGCAAGAGAAGGAAGCTGCCGTCGCCCCGCCGGCCCTGGAGTCGCTGCTCGGCCCTCTCCCGACTGCGGCCAGTCTCGGGATAACGGAGTCGATAAAAGAGTGCATATTGACCAAGGGTCGGGACCACAGTAAGTACGAGCGGAAAGGGACGTGTCTCTTGAACTGTGGACCGTGGAAAGGCATTGGTGGTTCGGTGTGGAGTTTGAAGTTTGGGTCAGGGGGCGTTTTGGCACAAGCCAAATTGTTTTTGCCGGCTGGAACTTTCAAAACGGGACGAGAGAATCCGTGGCAGGGGAAGTAAGGAACAGCCAGATTTAAGTCCGGTAGGCCCTTAGAGACCAATGAGTTTTGCAGGGCATGAGCTTTCGAGAGTCAGAGCTTCCTTCGTTACGCTTCCGACAAAGGGAACTGGCTCTTGAAAGATCATAAGCCAGAAATCTTGTTGGTTTCCAAGGAGGCACTGGATTTGACTCTGGCTGTTCCTCTGCAGTCCAAGGTGGCCGCCCTCTGAAAGCAGGGCCTGGATGATGCTGGCACCTTAACTACTGTCGTCCTAGTAAGACCGTATTTCACTTGTGTGATTTGGTGTAGTGGTTAAGAGTGTGGACTGTAATCTGGGAGAACTGGGTTTGATTCCCCACTCCTCCACATGCAGCTGCTGGCATGACCTTGGGTCAGTCACAAGTTCTTTCAGAGTTGTTCTCTCAAGGGCAGTTCTCGAAAGAGCTCTCGCAGCCCCACCTACCTCACAAGGTGTCTGTTGTGGGGAGGGGAAGGAGTTTGTAAGCTGCTCTGGGACTCCTTTGGGTAGTGAAGGGTGGAGTATAAATCTAGTCATTATTGTTATTATTATTGTTAAAACTGCTGGTATTAAGTCGGACTCCTCTTGAAAGTAATGGTTTGAGGACTAACAGCCGCCATAATGAGGAAATTTGGTTTCTGTTCCTCCCCTGAGAATTCTTAAAGCCTCAGAATTAGAATATTTGACCTGTTCTATCCTCATTTTATACATAAAATGTTGCCTTTCATCACTACCTATATCCTTGAGTCCTGTGACTATTTTTGATTGTTGGTTTGAATGCTCTTTGAACTCTTGAAAGCTGGCATAGGGTCTTGGGTATTTACTTTCTACTTAGTATTGGCTTGTCTATATGGGGACTTACTGTATCCATTCCTTCCACCCTCTCTCAAGGATTATCTAAGATAAGTTATACTTTTTGCCCAGTCTTGCATAGCGGCACCAAGAAAGACAGGATGCAGAATGGCATTACTGTGGTCTTCCTGGAATGGAGTGGCTGATCGATAGCTCTTTTTTGATTCTGTGGGGCCGTTCATGACAGTTTCTGGTTGGCGGGGCCATTTGTCTGGTTAATTCTGATAATGAACAAGACTTTGGTATGATAAGAAGAAGAAGAAGAGAAGAAGAGATTGGATTCATACCCCGCCCTTCACTACCCAAAGGTGTCTCAGAGCGGCTTACAAACGCCTTTCCCTCCCCCTCCCCACAACAGACACCCTGTGAGGCAGGTGGGGCTGAGAGAGCTCTTGACAGAAACGGCTCTTTTTTCAAGAACAGCTCTTATCAGAGCTACGGCTTGCCCAAGGTCATCCAGCAGGTGCAAGTGGAGGAGTGGGGAATCAAACCCGGTTCTCCCAGATTAGAGTCCGCGCACTGAACCACTACACCAAACTAGTTACAGTGAACACAAACTGGGGAAGTAGCTATCAAATGCAAATGTACATATTGAAAGTATGCAACAAATAATACCACAATGCATAAATATACAATAACAATTCTAAAGGTTTATTAAGTCCAAAAGTAGTTCAAAAATTAAAGTCCAAAGATTTACGAAGAGTCCGGCTTCAACTTCGTTTCGAGGAAAAACTTCATCAGAAGCGATTAACTATGGTGGCTGATAACAACTAGTTACGCAACCCCTGAGTGGTCGGCGTCCCAACTTCTGAAAGGGACAAGTGGCATGCAGCCCCCCGAGATTGAGCAATAAGAGGTCTGTGATGCCCTTAGATGTCTGGGCCTGCGTGCACGCTACATTGACTGGTTCAGCATGTGTCTACCCTGTGCTGACAAGCGCTGATAACCAATGCTCCCTCTAAGCTGTGGAGTCTTGTGAGCAAAAATGCTACTTTGTGAGCTACTGGCATTACAGTTGTGAGCAAGAGATTTGGCTACTGCATAAATCAGTTTGCTCTGGAGCCATCCTTCCTGAGCTGAGACCAAAATCTGTGAGCTGGAGGCTAAAAAACGGTGAGCTAGCTCACACTAACTCAGCTTAGAGGGAACACTGCGTGGTAACCCGTTGAACCCTATTCCTGATGGGGATTGGGGATTGCAACTATTCTCCGTGAGCGAGGTCTTCTTGGAAGCATCTTGCATGCCGCAGTTGGAAACAGGCTGTTTTGTTACATGGACATTCTGGCCTGACCCTGTAGGGCTCTTTCAGGGTCTCACCTTTGACTGGCAGCATTGACAGAGGAGGAGTTTGGATTCAGAATGCTTTACTTGCTTAGTGACAAAGGATGCTGTGTTACTTAACTGTGAAGCTTGTGTCCCAGGATCACAGCAGACCCAGACATGATATATTTTTGTCTGCCTACCCCTCCTGTTTAATTTCTGGGTAGAAGCTTTTGTGTGCATGCACACGTCTTCAGATGTCTTTGGTATAATTTTAAGCCTTCTGCCTCCGGTAAGAAAGACGATGTCTGTTCGTACCTGTGCAGGTTTCTTCGCAAGATTTCTGTATGACTAAATGGGGTGCCTTCCGTGGAGATAGCGCAAGATGGGTAGCCGTGTTAGTCTGTCTGTAGCAGCAGAAAAGAGCGAGAGTCCAGGAGCACCTTAAAGACTAAGGAAATTCCCGGCAGGGTAGGAGCTTTCGTGAGTCACGGCTCACTTCTTCAGATACCTGAAGATATCTGGACTCTGTTTTGTACTGCTACAGGCAGACCAACACGGCTACCCGTCTTGATCTATCTGAAGAGGTTAGCAGTGACTCACGAAAACTCATCCCTTGCTACAAATTGTGTTAGTCTTGAAGGTCTCACTGAACTCTTGCTGGAGATTTTAGGGGTGGAGCCTGAGGAGGGCGGGGTTTGGGGAGGGGAGAGACCTCGGTGGGGCATAATGCCTTAGAATCCACCTTCCAAAGTTGCCAGTTTCTCCTGGTGAACTGACCTGGAGATCACTCGGAATCCCATTTTTGTCTGCCTACCCCTCCTGTTTAATTTCTGGGTAGAAGCTTTTGTGTGCATGCACACGTCTTCAGATATCTTTGGTATAATGTTAAGCCTTCTGCCTCTGGTAAGAAAGATGATGTCTGTTCGTACCTGTGCAAGTTTCTTTGCAAGATTTCTGTATGACTAAATGTGGTGCCTTCCGTGGAGATAGCGCAAGATGGATAGCCGTGTTAGTCTGTCTGTAGCAGCAGAAAAGAGCGAGAGTCCAGGAGCACCTTAAAGACTAAGGAATTTCCCGGCAGGGTAGGAGCTTCCGTGAGTCACGGCTCACTTCTTCAGATACCTGAAGATATCTGGACTCTGTTTTCTACTGCTACAGGCAGACCAACACGGCTACCCGTCTTGATCTCTCCCCAAGACTGTGCGACACAGTATGGCCATTTATGTCTTTCTATCTGTGAATCACTGGAATGCATACATTTGTGGCTAAAATTTTGGCTTTCTGCCTTGAGGGAAATCCTGCTGCTTCTTGACACTGTCCCAGTCCCAACCATTCCCTCAGTTGGCCATACCAAGCCGTGCATTATCGCTACGATCCTTAGCATCACTTGTCAACATCCCCTGATGCGTGACCACTTAGGCACCTGGGCCCCCGAATCGACCTTCCCCGACATGTGCAAATTGCTTTCGCAGTTTGCGCTTCATGCATATTCCGTGCACCATATCCCGCCGAGAAGGTCTCGCTAAGTGGGAAATGATATATCTCCCTGGAATGAAACCTTCCCAATCAGCCTTTGTGTGTGTACAGCTCATAAATTGGGCAGTCTTTATAGACTATTGTATCTGTGATTGGGCCCTCATTATGTCGTTAATGAGATGTGAAAATCTCGCCGCAGTCGGCAGGATAATGCTGGGACGTTACCGTCACCTCTCCCCCCCCTTTTCCCCTCTGATGTGCCATACGCAATCGCCAATACCTGAAGCGTTCCGTACAAATTGCAGACAGCGCGATCCAGTTGCTTGATAACAACATGGTGGCTGCGCATTAAAAAAAAAACCCCACTCTCAAGTTCTTGTGAATGGTTGCAGTGCTGAAGTGCGAAGAGCCATGTACGTGAGCCACCCTCTATGTGAGCCACCCTGAGCCCGTCTCAGCGGGGAGGGCGGGATAGAAACCGAATAAAATAAAATAAATAAATAAATATTCTTTTTTGAGTGTAGAAAGCCAGCCAAGCTAAGAATATCAAGTACATAGGATTACTACCTCTGGGTTGGGGAAATACCTGGAGATTTGGGGGGTGGAGCCTGGGGAGGGCGGGGTTTGGGGAGGGGAGGGACCCCAGCAGGATGTAATGCCTTATGGCCCATCCTCCAAAGCGGCCATTTTAAGAAGATAAGAACATAAGTCTGCGGCAGTGTTCCCTCTAAGCTGAGTTAGTGTGAGCTAGCTCACAGTGTTTCAGCCTCCAGCTCACACATTTTCGTCTCAGCTCAGGAAGGAGGGCTCCAGAGCAAACTAATTTCTTCAGTAGCCAAATCGCTCGTTCACAACTGTAATGCCAGTAGCTCACAAAGTAGCATTTTTGCTCACAAGACTCCACAGCTTAGAGGGAGCATTGGTCACATGCACTAAACGATCCACTTTCAACGCACGTTCCAACTGGATCTTGCCAGTTGACACAGTAAAACCCAGTTGGGAAGTGCGCCGAAAGTGCATTGAAAGTGGGTTATTCAGTGCGTGTGATTGCAGCCCATGAGAAGCCATGCTGGATCCACTTGGAAAGTCTGTGTCACACAGTGGCCAAAACCCAGGTGCCATTTCACCAGGGGAACTGATCCTGGTCGTCTGGAGATCGCTTGTAATCCTGGGGGATCTCCAGGTTCTGCCCGGAGGTTGACAACCCTACATGCACCATTTATTTTTTTTTAAAAA